TTACCCAGGCTGGAGTGCAATGGCGCGATCTCGGCTCACCGCAACCTCCGCCTCCCGGGTTCAGGCAATTCTCCTGCCTCAGCCTCCTGAGTAGCTGGGATTACAGGCACGCGCCATCATGCCCAGCTAATTTTTTGTAATTTTAGTGGAGACGGGGTTTCACCACGTTGACCAGGATGGTCTCAATCTCTTGACCTCGTGATCCACCCGCCTCGGCCTCCCAAAGTGCTGGGATATGTCATATTCTTAAATACTTTGGTACTCTTAGCCAAATTTTTATAAAGGAAGAAAAGATCCCTAGCATTTGTAAACCTGTCGTGTGTCAAGCACTGCTTAATGCTGTACAAGTAAGGCCTGGCTTGTGTACTTGTTTTCCATTGAAATGAAGGCTCCAGGCCATCAGGCCAGAACCAGATCTTCCGATGTTTTATTCTTTACTGCACACTGATACAACTAATTTGTATTTAGAGGTTGACACCGTTTGATTTCCTTATTGAATTTCAGGGGTGGAGAATTCTGGAAAGATGGACATCTCTACCAAGGACCTTCTTCCTCATCAAGAAATGCGAATTAAGTCTGGTCTGGAGAAAGCTATGAAGCATAAAGACAAACTGTTAGAGTTTGACAGAACTAGGTATGAAAGAGTTAGAATAACAAATGCTAAGAAATAAACTAGTCCACAGATTCTGGTCATTATTTTGGTACTTGATACCTTCTCGTATTGGAGTGTGAAAGAGTTTATAGCGAAAGAAGAGCTGGATCTCCTACACAGGAGACCTACATCTTGTTTTTTAATCCATGTTTGAATAATATAGGCTCCCACCAAAAGAATCCTGTCCTATAGCTTTTTTTGATTCCTGGCAAATGTTAGTTTATCCCCTGCTGTACAGTTGATGTGGGTTGACAGAATTCACCACTTGTTTTACTTACAGACATTCATTCAGTCCCCTGTATTAGAGTACCTATTGTGTGCAGATTGCTAGCTGGGCTCTGGAGATTCTATAAGGAATTGCCTCTGGGAGAGCATAGGTTATGCCCTATCATAGGAAGGCATGATTTACCTTTCTCCTTTCCTTTGACTAAGTTTGTTTTTGATTCAATAATCAGTATATTAAAATACAACTAAATTGGCTTTATACTCCTACATTATTATTGTTAATCCATTGACTTCTCTTTAGGAGATAGATTTATGATAGTTCTGTTTTTTATTTCCTCCTCTTATGCTTTTTTTCCTTCTGAACAAAATATTTGTTGAAAACCAGTTAGTGGT